CCCCCGCCCCCCCCCCCCTCCCGCTGCCCCCTGCCCCCCCCCCCCCACCCAGAGTGGCGCCAAGGCCGGATCGCCCGAGTGGTGCTGCAGGATGAGGACATCACCACCAAGATCGAGGGTGACTGGAAGCGGCTCAACACGCTGATGCATTATCAGGTGAGGCTGGGGCCGTTGCACGTGGACAGGGGCTTTGGGCTAGGGGCCTTCGGCTTCCCCGAATGTTCCCTTCCCTCTAAGCCTGGCTGTAAGGCCTCAAAAGCCTAGAACGGGTTTTCTTCCCTCCCCGATCCTCCTCGTCCCTGAGCCTAGAGCAGCTCGTTACAATTACTGGGGGAACTTAAAAAACACAAGTACCCAGACTCCACCCTCAGAAACAGATTTAACTGGTCTGGGATATGGCCTAGGCATTTCTGTCCTGTGTATCTGTACATCGGTAGAAAAATGTTCATACTGTGAAGTCCTGCATGTGGACAACTACTGCAAGGTGTCTGGCGCTTTCTCGGGCATCTTACTAACGCAGCTCGTCCTTCTGGCTTCAGCGTAGTCGGGAATCGGAATCGGAGACACTCGTCTTCCACTGTTACGTTCTGCCACTTGTAGCTGGTGTTCTTGGGAAAATTACTTAAGCTCTCTTCCTTTTCACCTGTAATGTGGGGCTCATAGTGATCCCTGCCCCACACCATGGCATGGAACAGATTAAATACAGGAGATGAAGTGTTGAGCACGCTGGCAGACACACTGAATGAGCAGTCAAGAAATCCCAGCAACAGATCACAAGATCCAGGAGACATCCACTCTCACCTCCCCTGCCCTCCTCCTGGGGTAACCACTCACGGCAGGGGGTCTCTGTTAAATTAAGTACAGGTAGACAGGCTGCGATTCAGGAGAAATACTAAAATAGAAACTGGAAGTGAGACACCGAGGGAAATTAAACCAACCAGAGGAAGTGCCTCAGGCTGCAAGACCCGCGGGACTGTCTGATTAATAATACCCTCCTGTGTGCCTGCCTCGCAAAGGGAGGCGTGCAGAGGGGTGGCTGGGCTCTCAAGCACCCCCTGCCAATAACCAGGCCACGGGGAAGCCCTGGAGCCCTGTTTGGGAGCCTCTGGGGACACAGAGGAAGCTGGGGGTGCTAGGGGCACCCCAAAACGCTCCTCTCCAGGCTTCCTCCCCCTCACTGGCCTGCCTCCTGCTCCACCCCCAGCCCAGCACTGACATCCTGTCTGGACCCCCCACCCCATGGGGAGTGAGTGTGGTGCAGCGGGAAGAGAAAAGGCTTTGGGAGCTGTGTTTAAACCCCCACTTGCCTGCTCATTGCTGGTGTGACTTTAATCACTCTGAACCTTGGGCTCCTCGTCTGTAAAATGGAGATAACCACCCTGACTTGCAAAGGTGTGAAGCTGGTCGGAAAGGCTAGAAACAGCAGGGGAGGTTCCCAGCGTGGGCAGCTACATACAAGGTAGCTCTAATCCCTCCCCAGTAGTTCTGTGCATGCACAGACAGACAGACAGACAGACAGACAGACACACACACACACACACACACACACACACACACACACACCCTCAACCACCACCACTTCACATGTGCTTAACGCATCCAGTAGAACAATTGGAATGAACCAATTAGAGCTGAATAAAAAATGTAAAAGAGAATAACATTATGCCCCCAAATCATAAGTTTTTAAAGGACAGGAGTGGGGCCTTTCTGCCTATGTCTCTGACGCCCTAATGCTTGTTACTGGGCTATCCGTCCTTTGGCTTCCAATCAGAAGAATGGAATATTCTGTTCTTACGGTGCTCATCAAACAAAGCACTTTCGATTCCCTGGTGTCATTTATCATTCATGTATTCATTCATTCCTCAAATATTTACCAAGCTTTCCTGAGTGCCGGGCACTTCCCACACGCTAGCCCTGAGTGACAGGGGACAACAGGGAGTATCCTTCCCTCTGGGAGACCGTGATGACGATACTCATAACAGCAGCACTAAAACCAACACTTCTGAGTGCTCGCTGGGCACAGGCACTGCTCTTGCCTTTATGTGTCTTAACTCTTTTAATGCTCACAGCAAGTCTAGATATGATTATTATCCCCATTGACAAATTAGACAACTGAGGCCCAGAAAGTTGCATCATGTCGCTGATAAGTGGCACAGCCAAGGACAGACCAGAGAGAGAAGAACCAAGGATAAGAGAGGTTTAGTGACTAGACCTGAAATTGAGTTGAAATGTGGTCATTTGAGTCACCTTGTGAATCTTCCTTTAGGTGACAACAAACCATAAATGATAACGTAATCTGTTCTCCCTGGGACTGTAAACCCTTGCCCCTGACCAGCTTTCAGAGCATCATTTCTGGGCGGTCAGTTGCAAGGAGAATTCCTGAAAGAGGTGGAGAGTCCCATCTTAGTCCCAGACCCTGTGCTGACAGGTCCAGGGAGCTGCCCCAGCTGGGAAGTAATAGACGCTGGCAACGTCCAGGCACACAACGTTCCCCTCGCTGGAGCCAAAGGTCCTTGGAGCCCCTACAGAAGAAAATCTGCATAATTTTAATTAACAAAGAGATGTTAAAAAACTTCCCCGGGTTCCTGCAGATTTATGGGGAGGGGGTAAAATTAAACACCACCGCTAAACCTGGCTATCAGGGAATCTCGTTAGCACTAATGTTCATTTATAGTTTGACTTCCCAACATTTAATTCTTTTTTGGTAGGAGAGAGGGACTGACAATTTAAGACCCAGAAAGATGGTTTTATGACTGGTGAAGCTATAAATCAAACTTATAAAGTTCATAAAAATTGTTAAAATAAAAAATGGTTTAATAGGAATGTTTTATGGCCCATAACATTATTATAGCTGTTTTATTCCCTCTGCGTTAGGGGTTTAATTGGATCACCACAATTCTGGGGATTCTCCATTTTTATTGGATAGAGGGTCATCTTAAATCAAAATGGCCCCAAATGTCTTCAATATGTCCCCTCATTTATCAGCCCTCTCCCTACAGGCTGGGTGCTGAGGCTGGGGCAAGACACTTTCTTTCTGACTCCCCATGGTGAATCTCTTCTAGGTGGCCCAGGCATAATAGGACCCAGGGCATACAGAAATCAGCCCCAAAAGGGAAAATGGGCTTCAGACCCGTGTGACTTGAAATAAAATCCCAATTTAGGATGTATAATGAGGAGAACATGTGCTCTGGAGCCTGACAGTCCTGGCTACAAATATCAGCTCTACTGTGTATTAACTATGTGACCTTGACGATGTTGCTTTAGCCTCTCTGTGCTGCCATTTCTTCATCTGTAAAATGGGAATCATTGTACATCACTCTCGAGGTGGATGGGAAGATGCATCTAGCCCAGAGCTATCCAATAGAAATAGAATGCAAGCCACATCTATAATTTTAAATGTTTTACTAGCCACATTAAAAAAATACAGACGGCATTAACATTAACGATGTATTTTATTTAATTCAATCAATTTAACCCAATGTTAACATTTCAATATGTAATCCATATAAAAATTACTAATGAGACAGTTTACATTCTTTCATTCATACTAAGTCATTGAAAGCCAGTGTGTATTGTGCATTCATAGCACATCTCAGTTTGGACTATGTACATTTCAAGTGCTCAACAGCCCCATGTGGCAAGTAGCTATAACATTGGGCAGTGCAGCTGTAGCTCAGAATCAGCAGCAATGGTTATTTCCAGTGCTCCTGAACTCCTTGCTGTCTACCCTACACCTTTCCATTACCCTCTAGAAGTGCCAAGGCACATACATTCACCCATAGCCCTCCTCTTATACCCTTCTCAGGTGTCAGACAGGTCAGTGGTGGCTCTGGTCCCCAAACAGACCTCATCTTACAACATCCCTGCCTCTGCCAGCATCTCCCGGACATCCATCAGCAGATATGGTGAGAACCAGGGAGGCCGTGTGGGCTGCTCGGGGTGGAGTCTTCTGTGCCCTCCCCGGGACCATTTGCCAGCTCTCCGCCAGCAGGAAGGAAGCGCTGGCTGCGGCTGGCCTCACGCAGAGGTGCTCTCATTTGTTCCCTTCCTTCCTGGTCCAGTCATTCCCACAGCTGCCTGTCTCCTTGGAGCCGTGGGAACAGGTGGCACTGCCCTGCTATCCCAGGCGTGCTGAAGCAGGTGGCGCGGCCCAGAACCAGGGAGGCACCTGGATAGGGGTTCATATAGCCCAGTTTTCCTGGGCCAGTCCCAGTTTATGCCTGTTGTTCTGGCTGAATTATTAACAGTGCCCCCTTTTACTCTCAAAAGTGTCCCAGTTTGGGCCAGCCCGGTAGCGCACTGCTACAGTGCGCCGCTTGGGAAGCGCGGCAGGCGTTCCCGCCGAGGGTTCGGATCCCACATGCAGACCGGCCGCTCACTGGCTGAGCGAGGCGTGGGAGCAACACCGAGGGTTGCGATTCCGTTGCCGGTCCCGGTCCGGTACGGGCGCGACACTGAGGATTGCGATCCGTTGCTGGCCACGAAAAAAGACAAAAAAAAAAAAAAATGTGTATTTTATTTGGTTCTCATAGTTACTGTAAAACAGAACAGAGATTAATATCCCCACTTTATAAGTGGTAATAAGACTTAACAAGGTTAAGTAACTTGCCCAGGAACTCATAGCTAATAAGTGGCAGAGTCAGGTCTCTGACAGATCCTTCATTCCTAGACTAATGTTTCTTCATTGTGCATACAGTCTTACTGCTTCTCCTCGCTTACTTATTCTGTGTATACTGTTATGAAAAAAAAAGTGTCCCAGTTTGGACAATAGATGGGTCATCCTCACCCTTCCACCTCTGAGGAGAACTGGGGCCCCCCGGTGAGGTCATGGGCTTCATGCTCTCTTGCTCTGTTTTCTCTGGTTTCTCTTATGCACTAAGATCTTGGGCTTGCCAGTTGAAGGGCACCACAGGACCGAACCCAGCAGCACCAGAAAGGGCTTAGGAAATGCCATATCATAGGTTCCAAGAAAGAAGGGACCCTTAATTGCCAAGAGGAACATCACCACTTGCAGATCCTTAATATCCGGATTTTTATTAAAGCACCTATGAAAATATCCAGCTGCCATTTACCTATTGTTTATTCATTGCTGGGAGCATGAGGGGAGAGGAGACTCCCAAATTTCCAAGGGTCTCTCCAGCTCACAGAGTTTCTAACTCTTTTTTCCCAAAAAGACCTCAGGCTGCTCTGTCCTCATGCCAACCAAGGATTTCTAAAGTAATCCACCCAGCATGTGGTTCCCAGGGTCCCCTTTCAATTGGAACGGGTTTACTCTGCGTGGATGGGGTGGGCAGGCAGGCAGGGGTCCTGGAGGGATTCTACAAGCAGGGATGGTGGATGCAGTCCCTCACAGCCCTCCACCGCCCCTTCCCCCAGACTCCTCCTTCAGGTACACAGGCAGTCCCGACAGCCTGCGGTCCCGGGCGCCTATGATCACCCCAGACCTAGAGAGCGGGGTCAAGGTGTGGCATCTGGTGAAGAACCATGACCACGGTGACCAGAAGGAGGGAGATCGGGGCAGCAAGATGGTGTCCGAGATCTACCTGACCCGGCTCCTGGCCACCAAGGTAACTCCTACTCTGCCCAGGCCAAGAGGGCTCCTCAGCTCAGGCCTGCCCCTCCACAATACAGGAAGGACCTCAGGAAGCCTGTCCTTCAGGGACCCATCAGAGGGACAGGGCTTCCAGGACTTCAGGCTGTTCTCTCTGCTTTGGCAACAACAGCAATGACAGCGTTGCTTTCTTCCCGCTCCTTGAGACTACCGTGATGCTTCAGAGGAACAGCTGTCTCGCCCCGGGCCCCTGATCCCTTAGGAAGATATTGGGGCCTCCACCATCACTGCTTTTTCCACCCCTTTCTGGCCACAGTGGGAGGGAAGCACGAAGGCCTGGTCCTGCCAGGAATCCGAGGGGAGGCTCTCCCTTTCTCATTCCCAGCACAGAAAATAACAAGCCTGTAAGTGTGGCGATCGTACGGCTCATGTATTCCAGGCCAGGCTAGATTTCAAGTACCCTTCCCAACTTGCTCCCTGAAGTGGCCCACAAGTACGCCCTCAGTCCTGTGTCTGCATGTTAGCTTTGTCTAATATGCTCAGCATACCAGTGGAGACCAACAAAGAGACACCAGAAAAAGTTGGAGGTTTCACTGACCCTCAGAGGTATGCCTGGAGCCTGTAAACTAGGACCCAGGCCCAGTCTTTCCCCTGCCCCAGAGACCTCCAAGACCCTGGAGGTTGACTGTGCCTGGGTGCTCTTGAATCTAGACCCTTCACCTGCAGCCCACGCTCCAGACAACACTTTTCCCAGGCTCTCCACACCTTCCTATCAGACCCTCCCCAGTCCTGCCGTGCTCCTGCTGGGAGGTGCTCAGTCCTCTAGCTTGTTCCTTGGACACCCTCTCCAGACTGGCCTACGAGCCTGCACCCTCCCATCTACCCACGGGAAGCCTGAACTCAGAGCACTTCCTGACTTCCTATCCCACACCCACCAGGCATGGACACTAGCATAAATGTGGCATGTGGCTGCAGGCTGGAGGAGAGAGTCTTCCCTGGATCCACAGCCCACACAGTCCTCCCAGCTCCCCAATATCCCAGCAGTACCCTTCCCCACCCCCACTGCACTTCCCGTCACAGACAAATTTCCAAGGCGGGATGGGTCCAAGGCAGCATCTGGTGTACTCGTCTGCTGCTGCCAGTCATCCCCACCCTTCATCTCACACTCCTCCACCTCTCACCAGGGCACCCTCCAGAAGTTCGTGGATGACTTGTTCGAGACCTTGTTCAGCACTGTGCACCGGGGCAGTGCCCTCCCCCTGGCCATCAAGTACATGTTTGATTTCCTGGATGAGCAGGCAGACAGACACAGCATCCATGACACAGATGTGCGGCACACCTGGAAGAGCAACTGGTAACCCCGTGGGGAGCCCTGGAAGAGGTGCAGCCCGGGGAGGCCGTGAGCAGGGGAGGGGGGAGCAAAGGGGACTGGGGAAAGGGAAGGGTGGCCTGTGCTTGGCTGTGGCTGGGTAACCTGAGACTCCTAGAACAAATAGTGCACATGCCAGGGGGAGGGCACTGCAGAGCCAACATAGTCCCCAGGATGCCTACACCAAGTGGTGCCTACTTGGCTGAGGCCTGACACCAGGGTGCACACTTGAGCTCTGCCCTTTCGGATGTGACTCTTCCCCAGAAAACATCTCCTCTCCCCAGACTCTGAGAAGTCTGGTTCTCAGGAGAAGGGAGCTAGTGGAAACCATGCAAAGAACCACATTTGAAACCTGGCAGCAGAGCGTCAGAGCTAGGCATTGTCAGGCATTCTGAGTGGGGCAGAATCCAAGGCACTTCCTGAGATGGGGAAGCCCTGAATTAGTCTTAGACCCCTGGTGAAGTTGGCTAGTACTGGGGAGGGAGCTCACACCTGAGGCCACTGACTGCAAGGATTTCATTGCAAACATGATTTCTTAAGGTCAAGTTCTTACCTCAGCACCATGGCTTTCAGGAAGCAGCAGGCAGAATGTCCCTAAAGCAGGCATGGTTCTTCCCTAAAGTCACCTCCACATCCAGACCAGTGGTGGGAGAGGAAGCTCCCTCAGGCCCCTGGCATGAGACTTTTCCCTCCTGGGTTTTGAACCTGGACTGCAGACCAAGCTAAGGACTGGCTTTCAGGTCAGACAGGGCCAGGCCAAAAGCCAGAGTCAAAAGGCTTCCTTCGGGAAAGAGCGCAGAGAGGGGAGAGGGGAGGCCCAGGCATTTGGCTTGGGCAGGCAGCCCACACAGCTGTCTGGAGTCAGCAGTCTCAGAAAACAGAGCCGACACAGATGGGCTCAGGCTGTTATTTGGGAATCAAAAGTCTTAGCAACCAACAAAAACACTTTGGACAATGCCAACCCCAACTTCACATATTCCTTCCTTCTCTGGGTGTTGTGGTCACTGTGGCTCCTGAGTGTGCAGCTTTGATCACAGTGGAGTGAAATGGAGAAGCCAGGGTGGCCGGGGGGCTGAGCAGCCCCCAGTGCACTTTGCCAGGGTTGGCCTTCCATCTGCATTCCCAGGGGCAGGGCCAGGGCTGTCTCCTTTACTTTGGAGGATCCCCAACCCAGAGTTGGGAGTATGCAATTTCAGGGAAATCAAGAGAAAATTCTGGGTTACCCCCATCTCTGTGCCTTCTGTGTGCTGGCCAGACCCAAGTCACAAAAATGCACTACCAGGCATTGTGGTGGGGAGAAAGTCCCCTTATCCAGGTCCCAAATAGCAAATGTTCAAGGAAAGGTGATCAGAAGCTCCCCAAAGCTGCCAGAGGAAGGGGCAGGCAGAAGAGATGAGCCAAATCTCAGCTGGCAGCTCCTCCTGGCTTCCAAGACAGTGAGTGGTCCTGCTGCACTTCAGAGGACAGACCGAAATTGTAATGGGAGGGCTTGGGCTGGGTGAAGCTGATCCTTCCCAAGACCTGGCACCAGTGCGACATCTGGGGAAGTTTGGCGTCCATGAGGGTCAACAGAAGATGAAAAAGGGGAAGGGAACAACTGCTTGGGCTAGAGGGACAGCAGGGACAAGGCTCACTCCACAGAGGAGTCAAAAGAGTTAAGGCCCAGAAGGCAGCTGGAAGAGAAAGAAGAGTTGGAAAAGGAAGCAAAAACAGCAGCTGTTCTAGTTTTGAAGGAGAGTAAATGTGCTTATCCGCGTATGGCCTAAGGAGCAGAGAAAACTCATCCTCCTCTGATTATAAATTCCCGAGTTGCAGAAGGAAGTCTCCCCACTACTGATGGGTTCCTCCTGGGGTGGGAAAAGCCCTGCGCTTCAGTGAGTCATTCCCAGGATGCGGACAATGGCTTCCTCTTCTCACTCTGCCCCTGCCCAGATACGGGAATGCCCTGGGGAGAGTTGTGAAAGAACTTCTCCCAGGGGAGCCCATTCCCGGGCCCGGGCAGGCCAGGCGAGCCCTGGGAAGTGGCCCGGGCGGCTGGGCTGGGCGGGGAGCGCAGGTGGTGCCCTTTGTGCCCTCTCCGAGGCAGTGCCTGGGGCCGCCCACCACGTCCTTCTGGACAATGGCCACAGCCACTGTGAAGGGACTCTAGGAGCCTGGTGGCTTTGTCTGGAGCTCTGAGAAAATTTGCTGTCCTCTGTACTTAGGTTTCCCTGGGCACAAGGCCTTTCAAAAAGACTGCCAGGAGGGAACAGAATCCACCCACATCCAACCCCGGTTGTTAGCGAATAGGGTCAGTGCTCCGCTGGGGACAGTAGCGCCTTTCCTTTTCTCCCAGGGTCAGTAATAGCACAGGCTAAGTTAGCAGTGCTGGCTAAACCCATTTTCTATGATTTTCTTTCCTTGCCGTTTGGATAGACAGTTTGACATTTGGGGTTGAGGGACACAGCCAACGTGCATTCTCAGGTCTGCTCCGCCTTTCCTCCAGCCTCCCTCTGCGCTTCTGGGTGAACGTGATCAAGAACCCCCAGTTTGTGTTTGACATCCACAAAGGCAGCATCACGGACGCCTGCCTGTCTGTGGTGGCCCAGACCTTCATGGACTCTTGCTCAACGTCAGAGCACCGGCTGGGCAAGGACTCCCCCTCCAACAAGCTACTCTATGCCAAGGACATCCCCAGCTACAAGAGCTGGGTAGAGAGGTCAGTAGCACCCTCAGGCCGGGCCCTGTCTCCCTGCCCCATTCCCTGCGCTATGGGCGTCACTGACAGAGGACTCAAACAGTGTTTGCAGTCCTGATGGGGCCTCGTGCTCCCCCTCTTCCTTCCTTGTCCAAACTTCCTGCAGTGGGGAAGGAGGGTGGCTTCGTGGCCTTGGAAGTCAGGTGATTATAATCCTAATTATACCCTTTACTGAGCACATGCTAAGCACCTAGTACTGTAGAAAAGATTTTGTGTGTATCATCTCGTGAAAATGTCCAACAGAATTATGAAGTAGGTATTGTTATTATCCCCATTTTACTGATGAGGAAACTGAGGTCCAGAGAGGCTAAATAACTTGCCCAAGGTCACACAGGTAGCAGGTAGCAGAGCTGGAATCTGAATACAAGAAGTCTGATCAGAGTCTGGACTTTGAACCACTCTACTGGGTACTGAAGCCAGGAGCTCTCAGCTGGATGGAATTTCCTGGAGAAACTCTGGCCTTAGGCCTCAACCTCAGCTTGAGGCAAGAGGCCAGCAGAAGCCACATCACAAGAGAAACAGGGAGGCAGGAGCAACTGGGGACATCCAGGGCTGTCAAGGGATCTGGGGCCAGAGTAGGTACAGACAAATGTTTGCTGAGTCCCCCCTTCAAGGAGCCTGTCCTGTCTATGCAGATACTACGCAGACATCGCCAAGCTCCCTGCCATCAGTGACCAGGACATGAACGCCTACCTTGCCGAGCAGTCCCGCCTGCACGCTGTGGAGTTCAACATGCTGAGTGCCCTCAATGAGATCTACTCCTATGTTAGCAAGTATAGCGAGGAGGTAAGACAGGGCCCTAGGAGGGACAGAAACCAACACAGACAGCGAGGCAGTTGAACAGGAAGCCTGACTCAGTCCTTAAGTAACAATAGATGGTGATTTAGAAAGTGTTTTCGTGGAGTCACAAGCCCATGAGCTCAAAAATCTTTCTCCTGCCTTTATAAGGCAACCTAACCTCTACTGATTCACTGAATGCTTTCTTTACACGTTTCATTGTCTTTCATTCAGTGTTAATGCAATAAATAACACTTTAAATTACTAGTTTTGAGTTCAAAGTGTTGTGTGATGTTTTCTTAAATAATGAATCAAACTCTTCTTTGCACTTGGGAAAATCCTGTCAGTTACATTTCAGATAGACAGGTGGACTTTAACACGAACAGAGGTTGAATAAGACAGCTTGGGAAAATTCGCAAGCCATGCATCAGCGTCGAACCTGAAAGTAGCAGTAGTTGTACTAATGGCTGACACTTACATCGCACCGCCTACCTGCCAGATATTGTTTGAAGCACTTAAAATATAAACACACATACATAGATATATGTATACGTGCAAGCATATATGCATATATATTTAACCATTCCAATTATTTAAAGTTATGTTCATTAAGGTGGTATGGAAAAGTAGACAGAAGGGTAAAGGACTCTAGAAAATGTGTCTCACGCTGAGTCCTGAAGTCCCCCCACCTTTGCGTTTGTTCCCCAGCTCATCGGGGCGCTGGAGCAGGACGAGCAGGCGCGACGGCAGCGGCTGGCTTATAAGGTAGAGCAGCTCATTAACGCCATGTCCATCGAGAGCTGAGAGGAGGAGCCTCGCGTGCCTGAGAAGAGGGACCTGTCAACGCTGTCACACTGGGAGTCTCAGAAGGAAGGACATGTGAAGGGGATCAGGCCCCAGAGCTTGATGTCTCCTGAGACCCCATCCTGGGAGAGGGGAGGGCTCCTCTCCCTATGCCAGCCAAGTTTCATCACAGCCAGCTCCTGCCCGGAAAGACAGTGGGCACCATCCAGCTACGGCGAGAAGCCCCCAAGAGAAAGCGGGGCAAGGAGAAGATGGTCTTCAAGCTGAGAGGTGCAAGCGCCGGGGGCCACTTCTGCCTCTGTGACTGCTGCTTTGCATGAAAACTCATTTGATGTATATTGGGGAAATAATGAGAACTTTATTTAATTTTTTTTAAGAAAAAGAAAAAAAAAAAAAAATAAAACAAAAAGCCGCCGTGTTAATCCCATCCAACTTTTGTTTAATTCTGATTTCTGTCTCACTTTCTTCTTTTCCCCCATTCCTCCTTTCTCATATAACTCCTGTTTCCAAATGCCAGAAAAAGCCTCCAAAGAGATGCTGAGAGAAATTGAAATTTTTTTTAAAAAAGGAAGAAGAGGAAGAAAGAATGAGCACAAGTTTGCACCAAACACTTCACAAAACAGAGGCTGGTAAGACCTGGAATTATCCCAGCAGCCAGAGAACGTGGGGATTCCAGAACGTCGCACAATTTTTGTTGCCATTGAGTGGCTCGACCTGGCTGGCTGGAAACTGAGCTCGACGTACCACATTCCTGTGTATTCTCATCTCTTGAGAGGAGATCTGAATCTCTATGGTACCATTGCTTTTTGTTCCTGTTTTTGTTTTGTTTAATCCCAAACCTCAACAAATGAGGAGCTGGTCTTTGGTACTTTTCCTTTTGGTTTCCTTAAAGTTACTCCCAGAAGTGGGTGTGAGGTAGGCCTCTTCCAGACCAGACACCTGGCCTGCCTTTGGACACCGGGCAGCTCTGCCTCACATCAATCCCTGTCATGAGCCAGGCACCCTGGGGAAATGGCCTGGAGGTGTAGGCCAGACCTCCAGGAGGTTCCATTAGGGAGGTGATTTGGGGACATGGATGTTTGGCTTTGGATTCACTCCAATCATCTGACGGTTTCTGGCAATTGAAAAGAAAACAGAAATCAAACACTGTTTACAGCAAGCAATACTTGAAGAGCATAGGTTAAAGAAGCTGCAGTATTTATCATTACGCTTGCTTTCTTTCATTGTCTTGTGCCTGGAGAGGGGAGACGACCCTTCACTAGTTCTGTTCATGGAAGCTCCTGACCATCTGGGCATAGGGCACTTGCCTCGGTAGAAATGACTATGGTGTCCCCACATTACTTTCTTCTTTGCCTCTCTTTCTGCCACTCGTGGACTTGTGGGCTTGAAGGACAAGTGGATTGTTTCTCACTGGGCTCCTTCCCTTCTCTCTCCCTCCTGCTGACACCTAAAACCATGGATGACCAACTCTCCTGAATGCAGTTTCCAAACAAAGACACCAAAGCTCCAGAGAACCACATAGAAGCCAGTGGGAGTTGTCCAGAGGAAAGGTGTTTCTATTGGTGGCAGGACCTTGGTGACCGGGATAGCCATCAGAGTGTCCAGGCTGCCCACATTGACATGGAACTAAGCAGCCAGCTCCAACTTCTCTGCAAGCAATACGAGTCAGGAAGTAGGAGGACAGGAAAGGCAAGGGGGTGGGGGTAGGAGAGGCAGGAGAGAAGCAACCTCCCCTCCCCACCTTCTACGTTTCCAGGGGCCAGGAATCCCAGCTACAATGCCGGAGAACTGGACCAGCTCCCCTGAGAGAGACTGGACAAGGGGCATTTCCTCTGTAATTAACTCTGAGCTCCAGCTTCTCTGTGCCCTGCTTTACCTCCAAGCAATTCTAATTTCCAAAGGCTCCACTGACCACATATGATTCCCGGGAAAGGCCTGAGGGAGGGGAACTCAGGGCTGGCTTCCATCGTTGGCATGTGGCTTTGGATGGCTGTCTAACCACACAGCAGACGTTGCCCGGTCTTCTCAGCTCCAGTTTCTTGCCTGAATGCAGCTGACAAATGGGAAGAGAAAAACATTCAGCAAAATACTCAGGAAACTTGCTGTTCTCATTATAATTCACAACCAGCCATGCCAAGGCCACTTTCTTCTGATAATCCACTTCTGTTAAAGTTTCTCGGGGCCTGTTAATAGCCTGAAAGAAATACTAATGACTGGCCTTCCGCACTAAGCCAAAGTGTTTGCTCTTCATAGCACCCAAAGCTTATCAGCTCAGAGCCCATAACTTATGGAGACGAAAGGAGAGGAGACACGGGCAAGAAGAACATGGGCAGGAAACCTTGTGCTACCCATAAAAAAATTCCAGCCCACCCTCCTTTCACTCCTGAGCTCTGTTGGAATGAAGGTTTTCTGATCACACCACTGCTCAGACTGGCATCCAGGGCTTTGCTCCTCCAAGAAGTAAAAGGAAGTCAGACATCTCAGCAGCATGTCAACCAGTCCTTACCTCTAAACATCTACCCAGTATCTCCCAGAAGCTCCTTTTGGGGACAATTCACTGCCCCTGGGGATGCTTCCCTGAAGGTTTCTGGAGAGTGTGAAGATAATGAGGATGGCCAGTTGGAGAGAGGGGAGGATAGAGGTGGTGAGTGGCGTGGCCACATTTCTCAGGACTCCATGAGACAGCAGGGGAACTTGGGCTGGCAAAGGAGGTGGCACAGGGTATCCTTAAGGAAGGAATTAAGGGAAAGTAGAGATCGGCTGGACTCAAGCCAGGCCATGAGGGTGAGAGGTTGTAGAGCCTTGCTCCCTTTCTAGCTTATGCATCCCCCTCTTCCATCTACTCTTGGCTTTGGGTCACCAAGAACCGGTGGAGTCTCCACCCTGTGGAATGGGGAGAAGAGGGAGCTGGTCGGCCTCTCTTCTCGCTATTATCCAAATTGAGGGTATTTCAACCATGGTTAAGGAAGAAGTATTAGAGCTGCAGCCCCTCCCCACAAGAAGCCATTCATCTCGGAGGGAGACAGGGAAGGAGGTCTCTCTCCAAAGTCTGTCCAGTTTTGCTTTGTTTCACTGAGCTGCACGAGAGACAGTTCTCTGGAAAAGGACCCGAAAGGGTTCTTTGCAAGACAGAGGATGCTAATGGACAAGATGGAGAGCGAGTCCCTCCCTCTGGACCCCGCTGCTGCCTCCCACCCTGTGCATGGGGCCAGGTGCTTCTGTGGCTGCCGTCTACCTCTCCCCACAGTGCAGCTCTCAAAACCATTTCTGATCTGCCACCGGCAGAGAGCTCGCCCCCTTACAGAGTTCATTGATTGCAAGCATGGATCGGCTGTTAACCTTGCTGGGGAGATGGAGCTGTTTCCTGCGTTCATTCATCCCAGAAGCTTCTCGAGCAGCAGCTATGCCAGGCACTGCTCTAGGTGCTGGTAAACAGCAATGAACAAGACCAAGAAGGTCTTCTAGCAAATACATATTCTTCAGGCTGTCCTTCTCCTCCCCCACTGGCAGAGGGCACCAGTTTTGTAGAGACGGGGGTTCAGCGAAGGAAGCAAGCCAACCAACCCAGCTGCCTTACCTTCTCCTGGGGACACTGCCCCAGCGATGAGAGCCACTCTCGTTTCCACGGCCACCGCCTCTTATGGCAGCACATTGCCTGCTGCTTGGGCTCCCGACCTTCCTTCAGTTCCACCAAATGAGGACAAGAAACAGCCGTCGAGGCCCCTGGCCCTGCTGAGCATGAAGCAGGAGCAGTGGATGGGCGTGACCCCAGATAGTCTCAGCAGAACAAATAGAGAATGTCTGAAAGCCACTGGCAGATAAAACTCCAGGTGCCCCCCTGTCGCCACACCTGCTCGTGGTAACCTGCTGCCAGTAGGTACTGAGCTGGCAGCTGTTCTGGGGGAGGCCATTTTTCTCCCCCCACCGTGATATGTCATGCCTGAGACTCGGACCGGGAAGAATTGAGACCCACGGGGCTCTGTGGGTGAGAAAATGCCATGCGGCCTTGTAGACACAGGGCAGTGGGAGCAGATCCCACGGGGGGACTTGGAAGATGAACTTCAGGCCTGCGATGCCTCATCTCAGGAGCGTGCTTGAAAACGTGGTGAAATCCTTCTCATCGCTCCACGGTCTCTCTTCTCTGTCTTCTTCCTTTCTGCTGGCTTCCCCAGAGTGACATTGGAGTGTCTGAGGTTCAACGATCTCTGTGAATGAAGGAGAAAATTTCACTCTCGGTGTTTTCTAACAAGTACTAGGGAAAGTTCTAGAGACAATCAAACCCACTGCTTGTCAGACAGGGCCTCAGCCCTGTGAGCAAACTGGAGGCTCCTCGGCCTTTTGAGGACATCTGCATGTCATCCTCCTCTCCAGAGAGCTCTCCTCCCAGGAGCCTGGAGCCTGTCTGCTGCAGGGCAGCCTGCTTGCCCTGCCCCAGCCTCCAGGAAGATGGAAGCACCTTCTGGATTTCAAGTCCTCCCTTTGACTTGATTTTTCCCTCCATATTGGCATCACAGGTGGCGAGCGTAACCGAACATGGTTCCCACCAAACAGAATGGATGCTCATGGGTGTGTGGGCAGCAGGGACAAGCTCTTCCCGCCGTGCAACTAGGGACCCGAGCCCACCTGACTTCCCCCAACTGCTCCTATTCAAACCCACTCTTCTTGACACACTGGAATCTGTATTATATATATTTTTAAGAAAATACAATGATGATTGTCTGGTTTTGTTGTTTTTACAGGTGTTGTGGAATAAAAACTGTAAGAAAATTAAGTATTTAAAATGTCCCAATGAAATGGGGTTTCTTTTGTTATTCTAATATATTATTGTGTACCTATTGTAAATATGAAACACTGCTATTTTGCAAGCCAAGGACACAATTTGTACTGTTGTTATATATAAATAAAGTTTACTGGATAAAAAAAAAGAACACTTCAAACTTTAAATAAACCTGGTTTTTTGGCAACATGTAGGCAGAATAGCATTTCGCAGACATGTTTAAAAAGGAAGGTACTCATGGAAAGATTAGCTAAGTTGTTTTTTTTGATGGAGTTCTAGAACTTTCCCTGCAGCCAGTCATCCTCATCACCATCTGTCTCGTGCCCCCTCACCTTGTACCAGTAGGTGAACACTGCCCCCTGGCCCCAAGACCCCAGAATACAGCTCTCCTCCAACTGGAGGCTGCTGGTGCAGACTCCACAGTTGAGGCCCTTTCCAGGGGTAAAGCGAGGTCTCAGAAAAAGGAGCCCCACCTCCAGCCCTTCCTGAAACGTCTATTCATTCCTCTGTACGAAACTTTTATGAAGCATAGCCTGGCACTGATAAGGGCTGGGGGATAATAATAAATGAGAAAGGGGTGATCCCTGCCCTCAAAACCTTCTAGTGTGATGACAACCATAAGGATTCCACAAAAGGAACGTTTCAGCCGTGCATTGGGAAGGGTTTCTGCTG